AAATAAAAATATTTTAAAAAATACACTTATTTGTTTTTAAACTTATCTTTATTAATCATTTAATGTTAAACAACAACTGCTAACTATTGTATAGCCAAACAGTTATATTTATCGAATCCGTTATTTACCATCCGTTACCCACCTCCGCTATCCGTCATCCGTTATCCGCTAATCGCCACTCACTACCCGCTAACCGCCACTCGCTACCCGCTACCGCTATCCGTTATTCGCGGAATTTTAACCGTTATACCAAACAGGTCCTTAATCCGCTAGCGGTTTGATATAAAAAATTACATAAACTAGTTTTTTCAATCCGCTAGCGGTTTGGACCCCAACCGCTATCCGCTAGTCTTAAATCGCTAAATAAAAATTTTACCAAACACTTTATTTGTAACGATTTCAAAATATAGAAATTTACCAAATACCTATATTTAGCAGTTTAGATAAAACCGCTAACCGCTACCCTAAAATCACTATACCAAACATGCCCAAAATTCACTCCGTAAATATGTTAATAAAGACAGATCTACCCCAAAAAAAAAAAATGGAAGGACAAATTACTTTTTCAAAATTATAAATCAAGATAAATTACTTATGTTTTAACGAAAAATACCAGAATTTTGTGTGTCACGTTAGTATTTATTAACAAAAAAAATATATAAAAAAAAGTTATTTATCTTAATTTATAATTTGGAGGACAATTTGCCCTTATATTTTTTTTGGGGTAGATTTGTTTCTATTGATCTATTTGAGGGATAGATTTGGAGTTTTGTCACAACCAAACTAGTCTAACTATTATTAGATTGGATCGGTTTGGATTGAATTGATCAATTTTGTCCAAAAAAAAAAAACATTTTAAAGAATTTGATTATACTATTCTTCATATCATAAATTTCAATTATACTAAAATAAAAGCAAAACTAAATAAATTTGCAATAGATAAAAATATCATATAACATAATTTTATGGTTAAAATGAATAAATTGTGAAAAGATACGAACTGAAAAAAAAAAATTAATTCTTTCCATATCAATTTGGATCAGATGTTCATCAAATAAAATGACACACCAAACTAATTTAATTAGTTTT